AAGAGTGTACCCATGGAAGGAGGATGTGGGAAATACTGAAAGGCATTTGGAGGAAATTTGGATTATGGAAGCTCTAAGATTTAAATAGGATAAAAGGTGCTCCTTAGAATTAGTGACAAGCAAAATAATGAAAAACTCCCAGGGAGACTCCAAGTATAATCCATGTAATAAATCAACCAAATATTCAAGGAAAGGTGAAGTGCTAGCTCTTATGATTACATGGAGGCGACCCAAGCAAAGCTGGGTCATGTTGAACCCAGACTCGACTCCAAGCTGACAGGGTGGTCGTTTCCTGCAGGAATCCTCCATAGCTATCTACAAGGATTGAGGGCCATGTGATGTGTACCCTGGACACAGTGTCCTCTGTTCCTTCTCTTCATGGTCAGCATCTTCTTGCCACTTGAGGGTCTTGCTGAGATGATTCTCTCTGAGGATAATTTCATCCTGTCCGATGCCAAAGAGAGACTGGGATGGGACATCACTTCACCAGAATGCTACTCCATAGGGACAGGGAGTTTTGTCGTGCCTCTTTTGTCCTCTGTCACATCCATGGTTTGCCTGGCACAGGGTAGGTTCCCAATAAGTGTATGCTGATCAATGAATGATTAATGAGGCCCAGAAAGCATAGTTCCTGACTTTTGAAAGCCCTCCCTCTGGTTGGCAATGCCACCTACCCTGGTGGACCTTGGCCTCCTGCTTGGCTCGCTGCATCCCATTCCCTCATGGCTCCTGATGGCTCTGGTTTCAGATCTTGATGGAGACACAGACTTCCTCCAGCCCAAACCACTTCCCCTTCCAACACTGAGGCTAACTCTGGCTTTTACCATAATTTCATTATCATTTCTGTTTTGTTCTGATCCCTTCTAATCCTGGTCTTAATTGACGATTTCAGTTTTCCTACGGTTTCTATAACCAATCCCCACAAACACGGGGGCTGAAAATAATACAGGTTTATTGTCTTGCAATGTTGGAGGTCAGACTTCTGAAAGCAGTCCTCAGGGGTTATGATCAAGATGTGAGGAGGGCTGCATTCCTTCCTGGAGTCTCCAGGAGAGAACCCATCCGTTGCCTCGCATGCCTTGGAGGTGGCTCTCTCTCTTCAGTTCCCGCTGTCTTGTCACATCCCTATCCACTGACTTGGTCCACCTGCCTCTCTCCTCTAATGACTCTCACATTGACCCTGATGGAATCCCAGGATAATCTCCATATCTCAAGAGCCTTAATTTCAGCTCATCACATCTCTTTTCCCACCTATTCTTAGGACTCTGGGATTACGATGTGGACATCTTTGGGAAGCAATGATTCTACCTCCCACCGTATTACTGGCATGGAGGATCTCCTGATCTTTCTGCACACTATGGTGGGTGTGGCTGACTGCAGAGGGGTTTGTGTATTTGTTTATTTTTTCTGGTTTCTGTTCTCCATGGATGCTAATATATCCACAGAGCCCACAAAGATGGAAGAGACCTTGTCAATGCCATTGGATACGGTTGAAAAGTTTCTTCCTGATTGATACGGGGAATCACAGTGTCTTTTACTGGATGTTGTAGTTCTAGGGCTTTGCCCCACTAATCCAATCACAGGCTTCTGGAGCCCTAAAGAGTTAGAAAAATCTTTAGGGTCAAAGACAGAGAATTGAGAGTCTATATCAGGAGCCCTCATTGATCATAATTATCTTTGAAAAGCAGCCACTGTGGAAAAGAGAAAATTTGTGGCTGGGGATGGCTGATTGAATGACGTAGTATAAGATTCTGAGCAGAGGCAGACGGATTTGGACAACAGTGCAAGAAAATAGAGCATGCTTGCAGCCTGCTTCTTCTCCTTGGCCCTATTTTGCTGCAACCTATAGGTGGCTTTCCCAACCCCCAGCAGGAGCTCTCGGGGCTCCTGGGATAGGCATCAGTCCTCTCAGGAGCAGTCTAGCAATGCTCAGGACCCAAGGAGATCTGTCCATGGTGCTGGTCTGGCCCAAACCATGGGCTGCCTTGGCAGGATCTTGCTGGCAGACAAATACTGATGCCACTTCAAAGAACCGCCCCTCCAGGTGCCGAGGGCGGCTTTTCTGATGCTCACGCTGTGTCATTGTTTATTTTTGCAAGGCGCCCAGCTGCTGCGGTGATGATATTTATATCAATAAGGACTCTATTCATCTGCCGATTTCAGAGCACGCTTGCCAGCTGCATACGGCAGCCAACCTCGGGGAGCTTCTGAGCCTGATGTTTTTGCCTTTAGAGACTCGATTCTCAAAGGCTGTACCAACATCTGGGACTGAACGAGCCTTCATTCACCCAGGACCTACCCTGACAGGGGGTGTGATTGCCAATGACTCTGACCCTGTCTGTCCCAAAGTCAGATTCTTTTAAACCCCTCCTCTGCGTCTGAGCTCCAGTTTTCTTAAAAAAAGGATGTTGGAAAAAAGAAAAGAGCAAATGGGATTTTGAAGGCCCTGTTTTACTCCTGCCTCACGGAGGTGAGATCTCTGTTCTACTTTTGCAGGCAAAGGAATAGGTGGTGATGGTTTCCAATTCTGGATCTCTGCAGGGAATTAATTTATTTTCAGAGCTGTCTCAGTTTCCAACCTTCCATTGTTTGGGCCCTCAGCCCTGGGAATTATCCTTGATTTGTCTTTTTCTTTCCCATTCCGTATTCAACCCAACAGGATAGTTTGTTGAATTTACCTTCAGCATATATCCAGAACCCGCCTTGATCCAAGCCATCGTCACCTGCCACCTGTAATTATAGTCGCCTCTTCTCTGTGCCCTCTGCTTCCACTCTTAGCAACCGCCCATCCCCTCCCCCATCAAGAATCTATTCTCAATATAGCAGTCAGAGGGACACTTTCAACAAAAAAGCCAAATTAAGCCATTACTGTGCTTAAAGTCTGTCAGTGGCTCCCCATTTTTTGCAAAGTGAACCCCCAAGTTCTTCCTATGACCTCCAAGGTATATGTCTACACCCAGCCCTGTCAGGATTCAGACCTCACACACCTTTGTTCCCTCCCAACACACATAACTAAGTGCATTATAGAGCATTGTTGGTTATTGTCTGTGTCCCCCCTTTAGAACAGAAAGTGCACGAGAGATGGGAATTTTCTCATTTCCCTCATCTGTGTTGCTCACTGATGCAGTCTAAGCACCTAGAATAGCTTCCAGGGAGGAGCAGCGGATGCTCAACAAATGTGGGTTGCGTGGATGAGGAATTCTCTCCTGAACATCTCTCACAGACACATTCCAAGTTGTACTCACTTTCAGCCTGTCCTAGTCCACTCTCTCCCTGCCTCCCCCTCCTTCCTGCCTTTGCATTTTGCAGAGGTGCACCCTGGCCACCTGCTGGCCCAAATGAGAAACCTGCCATCATCTGTGACTTTTCCTTTGCACCCACCTCCCACTGGTGACTGCTCCCTACACCTTGTGGACTCAACTCTGGGAACATTCTCATATCTAGTCCCAATTCTCCTGCCTCCCAGCCACTTCTAGTTCAGATTTTCGCTTTATTTTCTCCCCGAGTCTTTGGTTCCCAGGTCTGTGCTGCAGTTGTCCTCCTCCCTGGTGGCAGACTTGACTCTGGCTCTGCTCCTCCGCAGGGTTAACCCCTCTAGAGTCTCTCCCCACTGGACAGGAAGAATTTTCTAACTGTGTTCCTAGGAACCCTAGGAGTCCACAAAGGTACCAGAGTGATCGACTCTCCAAGGGCCACCAGGAGAAGATGAGAGACCACTGTAGGGGGAGCCCCAGACTCTTGCCTCCTGCTTCAATATGACTAGCTGTTGATCAGAGCTCTTCACACACTGGGCTTGCATGAGAGCTTTTATTTGGAGAAAGAGTTCTGTGGCTTACAAAGTAAAAGTCTGATACTTATAATGCTGCAGTCCATGGCCCAAGCTCCTGAGCCTGGCTCAGGAGCCCTGCAAGGTGGCCCCTGATGCCCTCTCCAGCCTCACCATGCTCTTCTCCTCTGGACAGAGCTCAATCCCCAGCCGCACCAGAGCAGAAGCTGTTCTTCCCACAAGCCTACGTCCATCTCTCCCTCTCTCCTTTGCCCTGCCTTTCCCTCTGCCTGGAATGTCTTTCCCCGATAGTTCATCTCACATAAACCCAAATCTCCTCTGCCTTCTTCAAGGTCAAAGTCACCTTTTTGAAGTCTTCTCTCACCCTCTGGGCAGAATTAATTGCTCCCTGCTCCTGCCAACACAACACTTCACCAGTGACCTCTATTACAGCATGGTCACATGAGCTAGGGACAATTTGCTCCTCTGTCTCTGTAGGAAGACTATGAACTCCTGGAGGGCTGAGACTACCGCTCAGACCCATTGGAAAACACATTTTATTCCTGCCCAAGGGCCTGTGCAAGGACAGCACTCATACGAGAGTTCATTGAGTTATTTTGAATTTTCTTCAAGGCAGTAAAAGGACAGCTTTTCAAAAACCTGAAAGGTCATCCTCATCTTCTTGTCTCCAGAAAGGCTTCCCTGCCAGAGAGGCAAGGGCTTCAGAAACTGTCCCAAGACATGTCCTGTGTCCCGAGCATGGGGATGTGTAGTGTGCATGTGATGCTTAGAGCTAGCATGAAGTCAGGGCTCTGTGGTCGTCTGCTGCCAAGCCTCCAAGGCTCAAGCCCCAGCTCTACCCATGTGAGCTGTGTGGCAGAGAGACCAGGGCAGGTGGGTGTGGCCAGGCACCAGATACCCTTCAGGGTTGCAGGTGCTCAGTGCTGGGGAGGTGGCCTTGCAGCTGTGACAGCTCTGTGTGACTTAGAGCAAGACTCTAACTAGTGCCTGCAGCACAGAACAATAGAGTGTGGCCCTGGGTGGGGGTGGGGAGCTAAACAAAGCCCATAGGCAGAGGGAGTCATTACTGAGGGTCCAGGGGTAGAGGCCTCCTTGCCTCTGTGGGCAGAAGAATGGGCTTGCCTGGTACTCCCAGGGTCTGCCTCAGAGTCTACAGTATGGCTCCCCCCATCCACCTAGGCCCATCTAGGGTGGCTGCTGGGCCTCTTCTTACCTGGGCAGTGTCCATCTCATTCAGCATCACTACAGAGGAGCAGTTATAATCGAACACCAGCCTCCAGAAGTCCGCCACAGTGTTGGGTAGAGGGTGTTGGGTGACCACGAAGGCGGCGGGCTGCTTGTGGCTCTGACAAAGAAATGACACAGGCTTTGTAAAATATATATATATATATATATATATATATATATATATATATATATATATATATATATATATATATATATCTGTCAGTGATATTCTGATGATGATGAGGCCCGGATGGCTGCCAGCAGCCCCGAGCCTGCCAAATGGATTTCACAAAGCACCTGCCGGTTCTGTTCTCTCTGAATGCCCTGGCGGCAAAGGGGACCTTCTCGTAATGAACACATTCTCCTCCAAACTAAGACATTTCATTAGGAAAGTGTCAGTCGGATGGGGATTATCCAAATAAATTATTTATGTCTTGGAGCTTAGCAAATAATCATCATTACAATATGAAATGAAAGATTCTGGATGCAGATTAGCTGCTCTGCTGGCCAAGACACCTCTTGGGATATAAGAGATCTGCTGAGTCCCTGTGCCCATGATGTTGAGGAGGGGTTGGGCGGGCCTCCAAAAGAGCTTCTATTACACAGCTTACTCTTGTTGGATTGAGGGCTGAGCTAGCTGGCAGAAGGTGGGTATTGTGTCCTTCAGCCAGTGGAACAACGGAAGTTACCCAGGTATTAAAGTCCGGCAGACTTGGGGTTCAAACCCCTTCTAACTTATGAGTTATCCATCCATCCATTCATCTGTTCACCCATTTATTCAAACATCATTTGTACAGTATCTTTTGGGGGAAGGAGGGGGTGATAAACACAGAGAAGAAATCAGATGATCTCAAAACTCAGATTCTTTATCTGGAAAATGGCAATCATAAAGGCAAAGGGATGGTTGTCAGAAAATTGGATAAGATTTGCATGTGAAAGGCCAGCAAGCAAGAGCTTGACTGGAAGCCCAAGGACAAGAGCAGAAAGGCTCCTGACTTAGGTGTTAATCCTGGGCACCAGCCTTGGGTCTGGTACACACCAGGTAAAGTGTAGCTCCAGCCAATAGTCACATTAATTCATCCCCGTGTTATAGATGGGGAAACAGAGACCCCAAGAAAAAGGCCTGTGTGATTTGGGGAGCTTCACCTGGGCTATTTTTGGGCATGCCAACCTTGGAAGGAGGTGTTTGAGATTAGGAAGCATCTCCACTTCATCAATAGTTGGTAAGGCCTGAGCAATAACCCTATTCTCAACAAGTTTTCTTGGGAGATGGTTCCTATGGACGTTTGCAGCTATTTTTAGTGTAGTTATAGGTCAGGAGGAAAAGAAGAGAGATCAGGGTCAAAAGCCCTGGCAATAGCAGGAAAATGTCTTGCAAACATGGACATCACAGAGGCAGAAGGAGAACTACTTCCAAGGCCAGTGGAATGGTCAGAGGAGGAGCCTGGGAGGGCAGACCATGGAGCTGCCCAAAAGCCTAATTCCTCAGTCACAGAAAGCATGGTCTTTAAGCCATTTCAAGATCTGTAAAAAAATATCTAGGCTTCAGAGACAGCAGAGTTGGGGTTCAGATCCTTGACTCTACCCTTTCTGAGCTAGTTGAACTTGAGTAAGTAATGGAAATACTCTTATCCTCAGTAGCTGTCCAAAAAAAATGGGGGATAATAATACCCAAGTTCAGAATGAGACAGTGCAAGTCCAGGGTCCGACATGGTGCCCAACGCTCAGGGAATGTTAGTTTTCTTTTCTTTTTCACTGTCTCTGTGATAAATGCTCTATTAGGCCAGCACGCCTGACAAAGCCTTATCTGAAAATATGTTCGAGATCCGTGCTCCTGCCGAGTTTCAGGGATCAGCCAGCAATCCATTTCATGGATAACATCATCCTTTACCAGGGGAAACATTAAAAATTAACCCAGAGGACTTCATATTTTTCTGCTAGAGGCAAAGCTGCTATGGTTACCAGATAATGCACGGACTGAGCTGGAATACAGATAAGGACTTTTTTTTTTTTTTAATATAAGAAAGGCAAAGGCCTCAGTGATGGCTCACTGGAGAAATGCCCTGTGGACAAAGAGAATACAATCAGAATCAGAGCTTGGTTTAAGGCATTTGACTCCCGGCAGCATCTAACCTACTAAGTAGAGGCCAAGAGTTTGTTTGATCCTTGTTTGGATGAAGAAGGCAGGAAAGGGGTGTTGGGAAAGCAGGGACAAAGCTAGGAGGAAGTTGGAAGTGTGGGTGCACACCTGGACCCCATCTTGCACTACACACATACACACACACACACACACACACATGCATGCACACATGCATATATGGAACGAAGCTAAAGCCAGGGGTCTTTTCTTTACTTCCAGCTATTTGGTATGACCAAGACCAGGCTCTCTTCTTCTGGGCCCAGAGCCATGATTTTCATGGAGGATGTGGGCACCTATGGACAGAGGCCAGGGCAACCCTTTTGAGAGCTGAGACCTTTCATTGCCACCTGCCTCCAACCCATCAGGCCCTTGGAGGGAAATTTTAGGAAGATCAGAAGTCAGAGAAGTAGTTGGCCTTGGCCCTAGGAGAGAGTGCTCCATGTCCCTGTCTGTTTTGAGGGAGGTGGGAGGGTCACATGGGCTAAGTAGAGGCCAAGATCTCAGACATGCAGTGGAAGGGGACCTGGAAGAGTTCATGTCCAATTAGGCAATGGCATTCTTGATTCTGAACCTCAAGAGGCAAGAAGCCTGCATCTTACCGAGTCAAGGAAACTGTGGGGGAGGTTCAAGAAACGAACTCTAGAGTGAGAATCAGGAGCCCTGGGTTTGGCTTTGCCACTAGTTTTCATGGCGACCTAGCACAAGTCCCTTCCTCAATCTGGCCTCAGTTTCCTTTGCTGAGAAGCACATGGATGGGGCTAGGACCATGGTTCCATGCTTCTGCAAACACCTGTGCATCTTGGAGGTGAAGTGATGATACCCAGAAGTAGCTAGAATCCTCAAAGATGAAGCACGTGAGGCAGATGCACGGGCCCACTGGGGTAAGGATACGACTCTAATCCCAAGCCACATCAGGGTAGATGGTCCTCCCTGGACCTGACATCCAGAGAGTACAAGAAGGAGCCCCTAACCGGATATGCAGGAATATGGCTTGTTTCCCTCCTTGCTTCTTTTCCTTCCATCACTTGCTCAATATTAATTTACTGAGCACCCACTAGGTGCCCTCCTTTTTGCCTCTGCACAGGAGATGTCTGGGGAGCTGAATGGGGAGTACCTGCAGGTGGAACCCATGCCTATACCATCTTGTGCTCCCAGGATTCAGGCCAAGGCTTGGCTTAGAGAATGTTTCTATTGCTCAGGCTGAGTCAGCTCTGTGGGAGATGGGAGTGGGTGGGTGCAGGATAGGACCAGAGCCTTGTGGTGTCATGGGAGTTACTTTAAACTTTGGAGCTGTTCTTTCCAGGTTCTTTGAGCCAAGGAACCAAGAGCACAGCTTGTGTCTGGGTTTGGACCAGAGCCTTCAAGGGGAGCAAAAGTCCTTAAGGTCAGCGGATCAGAAGCAAGAAGAGGCCACCTGCTGATAGAGTCAGGGCCCTGGGTCCAGACACCTCCACCTGGGGAAGAGACTTTTCCCTGGAATGCCAGCCAGGCGCTCTCTTCCAGGGCTCAGCTTACATCCATCAGTGCTGCATTGATGTAGTTGCTGGACTCTCCATCCACCGAGATGAGGAAGGGCAGGCAGCGGTCCAGAGGCAGGACATCCATGCTGCGATTCTTATCATGGTTCCGGGGCAGGAGCCCAATGCTGCAATCTTCTGGTCGGACGCGAGGTGTCACTATGTTGAGTGTCTGTGGGGCAGAAAGGTGAGTCTACAGGTACTACTCATGTTGTTGCCCCTGAGCAGAGGAGACAGGAGGGTTCCAATTTAGCCTAACTCCCCTATTTCCACCTTCTAAGCTTGGCCCTGCTGTCCCCTTCCCAGAATCCAGAATCCCATTCCACAATGGTGATGTTCCTTCATATCTTATAGCACTTGTGAGCTATGAGCCCATGCTAGGGGCTGTGTGACACCTTCCAGTTGCCAAAGCTGCAGGGGTAGTGTGCCCACACACAAGCTCAGACTTAGGCTGCCAACATCTGCCAACCAATATGAACTAAGTTGTTGAACCCATCCAGGGCTACAGTAAAGGATGGGATGCCAGAGGGCATATGGTGGGGCTGGGGGCAGGGAATCCCTTTGAGTGCTAAACATCCCTTGAAGTGTCATGGAATGAAGGGAATGATTTACGAGCATTCTTCTGAGGGCCAGGGGAGACTGCCTGAGGACGGAAGGATGCTTGGATGAGCTGCTCAAGGTGGATGTGAGACCTCCAAGGGGCAAGTTTTAATAGGTCTGAAAATCTGCAGTTATTATGCTCTGCAAAGTTACAATTTAGGACAGAGATGCCCTAGCCAACAGATAGATGCTGTGCGCAATGACCATGTGTCTGTGTCCCATCCTCCCCTTATTCTGCACTCTGATTCTGCTCCAAATCATTAAAGATCATTTGTTTGAAGGAGCACTAAAGAATTGACTTGGCTGAAGTACCTGCCATAGAACCATAAACCTAGCCATTGCCCATGGCTGAAGCAGACACGAGTCTCCTGCCTGGTTCTCAGTTTCTATTGCCCAGGTTATGACTCTGGTACTGGCCTTAGGAGGAAGGGTTAGACTCTAACTTTCTAACTATTGATTCAAATCCAGGGTCTTCAGATGGAGCTTGCCACAACTTGGACCATATGAGCTGCCCAGTGTGGAATTGCTATGCCTGAGCTACGCTATAGGGTGATGCTGCTCAAAGTTTCATGTTCAGACAAAAAAAAAAAAATCAACCAGTGATCCTGTTAGATTGCAGATTCTTATTCAGTAGGTCTGGGTGGTACCCAGGATTCCACAAGCTCCTAAATGAAGCTGCTACAGCTACTCTCTAGACCACACTGTGAGGAGTAAGAATGTACCAAAAAATACAGAGGAAACTTGAGTCCCTCCAGGGACAAAGAGGCATGAACTTCACACTTGTGTTTATAAACTTGTCTCCATCAACAACCTGGACAGGAACTACATAAGACCTAAGTTAAAAAGAGGCCTTGGCCAATCACTGAGCTAATACTTGCTCATGGCTGTGCATTTGTTGTTTGTAAGACATTCTGCAGCTGCCTGGTGCTACAGACTGAAAACACATGGACATCTCACTTCTCACTGAGCTCTACAAATGTGCACAGCACCTTGAACTTGTTTGGAACACAACTATGGACTGAATGCTTGCATGCCTCCTCAAATGCACTCATTCTTATCCTAAGTCCTAGTGTGATGGTATTAGGAGGTGGTGTCTGTGGGAGGTGATTAGGTCATGAGTGTGAAGCCCTCATGAATGGAGTTAGTTGCCCTTAAAGGGAGAAACATGCTTTTGCCACATGAAGCTACAACAAGAAGACAGCCATCCACACACCAGAACAGTGCCTGAGCCCTCTCAAGACCCTGGATTTTCCATCAGTTGAACTGCAGCCTCTAGAAATGTGATAAATAAATGTCTGTTGTGTAAGCCACCCAGTCTATGGGAATTTTTTATAACGGCCTGGACTAAGACAGTCACTGAACCTAGGATTTGTCCGTACCTGAAACTCGTCTTTGATCTGGCTGGAGTTCGTCTGGGGGTCCAGCCTGCTGATGTTGTAGTACAGAGAGCGGAATTCACACACCGGGATGGCTGTGTTGCCACACAGGCACGCTTCCAAGATGGCATCGTGCACAAACACATACTGCTCCTGCATAGTCCGGAGAGAGGGAGTAGGCAGGTAGGGACAGTCTCCTGGGAGACCTGTCCACGTTTAATCTTATAGCTCTAAAGAATGCACAGGATTTATACTGCCACCTTATCTTGTAACCCAAAGGGCCAGGTTTCCGTATTTTATAGAGATTTCATGGATTTTTCTCCTTGTATGAGATTGAACAGAGTCACTGATAAAAGTGAGCAACTTGCTTGTGGTGCTTGTTTGACTTTCACCTGCCTTCTGAAGACTTCTTGTTGCACAAAACCTGTGATTCCCTGCTGAGGGCTTTCTTGCTAGTCCCAGGAGCACACTTGGGCTGTGTGCAGGTAAGCCAAAGAGCCAAAGAGTTAATGCCCCAGGAAGCAGCCCTCAAGCAATAATAGATGGAGAGTTGGGGGCGAAAATCTAAGTTCCTTCTCTCCTTTGGTGAATAACTTAAAGATGCACATTCCACATCTCAAAATTCCCCAGGTGTCCACAGTGTTAAAACCTGATAAAGCACCTTTCATTCATTTCCTACCCTTCTCCATCTCACTTCCCCACTCACCCACCAGAGTGTCTTGGGATCAACTCCCAAAGAAACTCAGCTTGCCCTGAACTCTTTGTCTCAGGGTCTGCTCTGAAAACACATGCCATACCCTCTCCTATCCCAATTCTTTGTATCTGTTATTCTTTTCTCCTGAAATTCCACTCCCCTTTTCAAGACCTTCAAGGTTTCATTCCTTCTGGGAGGTCTTTTCTAAGTCCACCAAGCCAAAGTTGTTACTTCTGGGTCCTTGCTAAGTGTTTGTTGAGTGACTTTTTTTCTTGCAAAATTTGGTTTATCCTCTACCTAGTGTGGTTATCTGGATGCATCATTTGAACATGTCTCCCCATGGAGAGTAAGTACAATGTGCCTGACTCCAACCAGCAAGCCTGCCTGCTGCATGCAGTCCTTTTGGCTCTAGTGCTAGAAGCCTGAAGATAGGGCTGAGTCTGCTCAGAGCCTGCAGCAGGGTCCAGTATATATAAACCCAACAATGGGGGTCTTCACTACAGATCCAGGAGGGTCTGCTGTGCCCAAAGCCATAAGCAACTTCCTTTTCCAGGGTGGATGATGTGTGCAGTTCCTCACAAATCCCAGCTCTGCCTGGGCACCCACAGCCTTCACTAGAACCAGAAGATGGACTCATTGTTGGAACAACAAATCAAGGCATGGAGGAGAGGATGGGCAGAAAGTTTGCTTAGAGAGAAGATGGTTCAGAACAAAGAACATGGACATTGAGGGTCACAGGGACGCATGATCTTCCACAGTATGGCTGGGTGAGACCTTGGGGACACAATTCTCAGTTTCTTCCTCGTGGATAACAATGGAGATGCTGGTAAGGGCTACTTCCTAGGATATGATTTTATACCCTGAATATAAAACACACATGCTGCCTGCCTCACAGCAAAAAAGACAAACTCCTTCCATTTTGCTCCTTAGGCTCTCTATCTGGACAGAGGTACCCAAAAGCCACCTTGAAGGCTGGGGCTGTGTATCATCTCTCTTTGAATCCCCAGCTGCTAGTTCAATTACTCAAGGACTTGGATGATTAAACCACTTCCTATAGAGACTGAGTGGATGCTGGGCACATAATAGGCATCCATAAACGCCAATCCTTTCCCTCTCTACCCCTTTTCTGAAGGCAAAGAATCCCTGACAGCTGCCATTCAGTCCCATCTTAGATACCCTCAGAGATGGGAGCCTCATCACCATTCATTATTGGTGGAAGTCCCTGTACCACGGAGCCCCAGGATTGACTTGGGGTGCGATGTCAGTCCTAGCTTCTACAGTGGTCTCCCCATAGCAAACTGTGTGGTCACTCCCTCTCTTGTCCCACACTCAGCTCCTTTCTATTGACCCCATCCCTGGGTCTCTGTCCACCATGCTCCTGTGTGGCCAGTGATGCTGGTCCCTGGTGCTCAGTCCTCCAGGACTCACCTCTGTTTGCACCAGGTTGACCCTCTGTGCCCGGAGCTCACGCACGCAGTTGAAGATGTCCACCACCCCTTCGTTCTCAGCCATGTCGAGCATGGTGTCAATAGCAATGAAGCAGCCGGTCCTCCCAGCTCCAGCACTGGAAGAGAGGTTATGGGGTGTGGGGAGGGATCTTGGGGTGATTTCAGCTCTGGGCATCCCCTACCATTCAGCCCCCTATCCAGGGCCCTGCTGAGAGGCAGGCTGTTGCAGATAGCAGAAGGGTGGGAACCCCAGACCTTCCTGGGAGATGCTAAGCAGGCAACCAATCTTAGAACCTCACCTCTGTCCTTTGAAAGATGCCAGAGTCATGCTTGTCTTTGGGGGCATTTGATCAGGGTGACTTATTCTGTTGTATCCATTTAGCAAACACTTATTCAGCACTGGCCAAGTGCCGTACATTGTCCTAAGAGCTTTACAATGTTACCTATAAACTCCCCTGTGAGGTTGTTAGCAAATTTCTCTCCCATTTCACAAGTGAGAAGACTGAGGCACTGAGGTCTGGCCTTGCCTGAGGTGACACAGCTGGCAGGTGGTAGAGCTGGGACTTTACCCAGGCAGTCTGGCTGCAGAGCATGTGCTCTTACACTTCCTTCCTTGATCAGATTTACAGTGTATAATGGGTCTTAAGGCAGCACGTATATGTGTGGTTTCCTCTTCTGATGGGTAAGATGACCCACTGTGTAGTGTGAAGCACTTAGCGTGGGACCCTCCACACTGCAGACGCCTAATAAACATGTCCTTCCTCTTTCCCTCCCTTCTTTTCTCCTTCTCTGTTTTTTCTTTTCAGCAAATGGGCTGATACACGGAAGCAAGGAAGAGCAGGAGAGGTGGAGCAGAGGAGAGGCGAGGGAGAGAGTGGAAGCCCAGGACCTCTGAGCTTCCCCAAAGGCAGAAGGGGATCCAAGGCCCTGGATTTGGCTTCCCCAGGACCAGGAGCTAGAAACCTCTTGAAACTGAGCAGCTGACAGCCCTGAGACCGACCCTTGCCAGGTGTTGAGTTTCCCACACACATTCGATTTCGGATCTCAGATGGCTTCCTCAGGAGAATCTCAGACCTCAGCGAGGCTCCTGGAACATGGCCAGCCCTGCCCTGATTAGTGGTGGGTCCTAAAATACTGGTGCTGAACATTTGCCTTCAACGCGTCCCGCCTGGGAAGGGAAGGCCAGGCAGGCTGTCCCGGAGGCCCACTTTGGCTTGAGTCTCCTGTTTTGCTTCGGCCATGGACACAGATGGCTTTGTCCACTAATGTGGAAGTAAGAGGATATGAAGAGAGGAAGGGAGAGAAGAGAAGACGGAGAAGCATCATTGGCCGATAAATCTGAGGCACACAGGCCTGCAGGATGGGACTGTGGCCCTCAAGGCTCTCGGGCAGTCTTCATTCCTGATGAAACTTCAATGGCTCGAACTGAGTACAGTCTGACTTATTCTTGACTGAGAACATCTACTACCATCTTGACCCAGAACTCCCCCAAAGTGGCCTCAACAGCCTGGCATATAACATATAACTTGCCTCCTGGCTGAGTCTTTGTAAGGATTGTGCTGTGTTTATTAAACATTTTAGTGATTTAGTATTTGGAAGAGACCCTTGGGATCAAATTCTGGCTGTGTGACCTTGGGTAAATGACTTCATCTCTCTGGGTTTCATGACTCTCATTCATAAAATGAGGCTGATAACAAATAGACCCACCTCATAGCATTAAGAGTACCATGTATGTAAATTAAAAACATATAAATTACATTATATGTTTAAAAAGCTTAATGCATGCAAATTGGCTTAGCCCTGTGCCTGGCCACAGAGTAATTTCTCAATAAATTGTTGCTACTTATATTTGATGGATATTTTTCCACTATCTATGATGCTTCAGATGCTGGGATTAGGAGTGGGGACATGAAGATGAGTAAGTCTTGGTTCTTGCCTAAAGGATTAAAAGCCTGGGGAGGGGGACAACATTAAGAGATGGAGAACAATGATATTTTTAAAGTGCTTACTATATGTCAGGAATTTTGTCAGGCACTCAGCACACATTAGCCAACCCATTTAATCTTTATAATAGCTCCAGGAGTGTGCACCACTATGCTCAGATGCATGAAAGTGCCTTGCTATGGAGCTAGAGGCACAGGGCCATCATGCACAGTACTGGTTAATAGTGGGGAGGTGTTGCTGATAATATTTGCTGTTGTCTCATTTTTTCCTTTATCCCTGCTCTGGTTGCTTTTGGGGATCTTGGGGTGGGGTCTAAAGTTTCACTGCCCTTGGGCTGCTATGAGGTATAAAGCAGAGAACATGTCCAAAATGCTCAGAGGGCCCAGAGGGCTTCTGCCACACCCTCAATCCCCTCATCTCTGAAATGGGATCATGTGCTTCCTATTATATTTAGAGAGAGAAAATTTTAAAAGGATGCTATGTAGGGAAGCAGGTGGCTCTGAGTGTCCATGGTTTGTAAAATCCTTCCTGGTCCCTGGACTGATGTGGACATTGTCGGAGCATGCAGGGTCTGTAGAAATGGGCGGGACTCAAGGTCACAGCAGGACAGAGAGGACTGCTAGTGGCCTTCAGGTCTGGACATTTGCCTTCCTCTAATTCTCAGTGTCCTTGACACAGTGCTTTTTCTCCACTTAGGGGGACTGAAAAACGTGCCACTCATCCTCAATGCGACTCTCTAGGTCAAAGCCCAAAATAGCTCTTTTTCATAAGGAGATAGAACCGGATGCTGTCCATTTATTCTCCATTAAGGATCCTACAGGCCAGAAATTAATTTTTAAAATAACAGCAATGAAGAGAAGCATGTTTCACCAAGGCACCCCACGGCCATATCAAGGAGCTGCAAACATGTTACACATCAGCTCTCAGCCCCTCAGTTTCCTCATCTGTAAAATGGGATGGTGATAGAGATCCCCCTCTCAAAGTTGGATGAGAAGTACATGAAATGGTGTGGGTAGGTGCACATGGTAGATGCAGCAGCACATGCTGCCAGCACCCAGCCCACATCCCTGGTGACTGTAATGAAAACTGTGACTGCCACTACATTGCTGTTGCTTAGACCTTAGGAGCCGAGTCTCACCGGGCTGGGTGTGGGGACACAGGCAGGGGAGTCTTTAAGGCAAGGAATCATGGCTACTGCCCACCGAGCTGCAGAGACACACTTGGATGGAGGCAGGGAGGCTTGGACTCACCTGCAGTGGACCACTATGGGCCCTGCTTCCGGGGGGTTGAGGAACTTCACCTGGCGGACGAAGCCCAGGAGGCCAGTGGCGTAGCAGGGCACCCCGTGGTCAGGCCAGCTGGTGAAGTGGAAGAGGCGGAGCTCCCGGATCTCGTGGTAGCCTTTCTGAGGAGAGAATGGGCTCTGTGCCTCCAGCTGCTGCCCTCGCGTGCCTGGACTGGCACGGCGGAGAGCCACAGCTGCCACCAAGGACCCAGCCTCCCGCTGTCCAGGTTATAGGTGTTGCCACTGAGAGGGACGCTGTGATCATTCCATTTGGAAATTGTGGAACCAAAGGCAGACTGGTTGCTTTTTGCAGGACTTCTCAGAGCCTTTTATTGTGTTCCTGTGCCTTCCGAGTCTCTAAGAGAGAGACAGCACCCAGTGCTTGCCCAGGGACCCCCTTTGACAGAGGTTTCGTGGGAGGTATATCCCAGATTGAAAGAAAGATGGCCATAAAGACCAAGTTCCAGGTGTTGCCAGGGGAATATGAGCCCTCTCAGTGGCTGAGATCGGGGGCCTCCCGTTTTCCAGCCTTGTCTATGATAGTCTATGTCGCTTTCGACATTTAAAATTTAGCCAACTTCTTTATTTTTCTTTATTTTTTGGTACTAGGGATTGAACTCAGGGGCGTTTAACCACTGAGCCACTTCCCAGCCCTTTATATATTTTATTTTTGAGATAAGGTCTCCCTAAGTTGTGGACATTGTCATTAAGTTGCTGAGGCTGGCTTTGTATTTGTGATCCTCCTGCCTCAGCCTCCTGAGCCATTGGGATTCTAGGCATGAGCCCCTGTGCCCAGCTAGCCAACTTTTTTATTAATTAAGTTCTTATTTAGAATTATAAGATGCTTCTATTGACTAATGGAGGCAGTGGGGCCCTGAGCTTGAGTGGATCTCCTTCTCTCATCCCCTCGCACATAGACACACCCCAGGTCAAATACTGGCGATCTGACTATTTAACAGACAGGTCACACCTCTGAGCCTTTGCTTACCTAGTGCCTCTTACTTACTGTTTTTCCCTAGTGATTTTCTGTACTTATTTAGAGAGGTTTCATTGTTTATCGGTCAGTTAAAAAAAATACTGAGGTTAAGATGTGCCCAGACTTGTGTTGGCTCTAGGAGGAAGGAAATAAAAGCCACGGCTCCTGTGCCGGGACCACTCATGACCTCACGAGGGTGAGGAAGGACTCCCGTGTAGGTGACTCAGTTAGCCTGTATAAAGGTGTTTATGGGATGCAGGGGGAGGAGAAATCGTCCCCCTGGACAAGGTGAAGCTCAATCTGACTCTTGAAAGGTATTAATAGTGAAAGTAATAAGTGATAATAATAACTAACATTTATTAGGCATTGCAAAATACCTCAGTGCATTAATTCATTTAATGCTTATAGCAATCCCCATACTGTTATCTCCATGCCTTGGACAGGGAAACTGAGGCTGAGCAAGATTTAGTGATGTCACAACATAGAGTGGCAATCTGCACTCTGGCTGTCTGGCTCCACAGTCTGCCCTCCTCACTGCTATGATACTGATGCAGGAGCATTACCCAGTTGGATACATGGAGGGGATGGAGGCAGGAGGGGATGGAGGCAGGAGGGGATGGGAACGGGACTTAGTGTGCTGTGTGCAGAGTCTCACAAGAACCCAAGGCAACACTAGAGGAACATGGAAGGGGTGCTGGTGACAGGAGGTCACACTCTGGTGGGAGGACAGGCCGTGCTGGAGCGCAGAGGCCCCTGAATCCCAGGTTCGGCCTTTGACTTTACCTCATAGGCACTGGGGGCTCCAGGTGGCTGCTTGGTTGGCTCACAGAGGGGCAAGGACATCACTGGACTTGTATTTTAGGATGCTACCCCTCCCTCACACAGCTACCACGTGAAGGGCAGTGGATTCCGCAGGTGTGTTAGGCATTATGCAGAGGGCACTGCTGCCCACCTAGGTCCCTGTCCTTGGGCTGATGCACCATCCTCAGCTACTCTGAGTTTAAAGACAGCCTATAGTCTCCCCTTCTTCAGGGAACTGCCCTCAATTGAAGAGGAGCCTGCTTCCTGGGGTTGGGTGGGGTGGGGTGGGGGTGCAGGGTCTCTCTGATGGAGAGGAAAGTTGTTGTGATTGAATGGCTTTGTCAGCTGCCTAGTTTGCCCAGGACAGAGGGCTTTCCCAGGACATGGACATTCAGTGCTAAGACCAGATTCTTCTGAGCAAGAAGGACTGGTTACCTTCCTGGAAGTGCAAGAGGCCCTTTGTCTGTAGGCAAGACTATTGATGCAGAGCAAATCATTCTCCAGGGCTCTGGTGGCATCAGGGCTCCCGGCGAAACCACGCCTCACTGGTTCCTTCTACCAGCCGCCTGTCCTGCCTCCCTCACCCCTTTCTGCAAGCTCTCCCTCCACCCATGGTCCTGGGCACCCAAATCCCTGCTGCAAAATCCCTGCTTCTAGGAAACCCAAACTAAGATGGGCCAAGGTGAGAGGCAGAATCCTGTCAGGAGGGAGAGAACAGGCCAGGATCAAGGGGTGGACGAACTGGGCACAGAGCAGATCCTCATTCTCCATTGCAGACCATCCCGCTGGCCAGGGTGCCCACAGCCAAGGGAAGCTTACCTTCTGGACTGTGAAGGTCCGGATGACGTACTCTGCTAGGGGCTCTGTTTCAATCAGGGTGACTTTAATGTCGCCATAGACCTCTGTGTCATCTGGCCAGTATCGTACACACTTCACCTGTGGCCAAGGGAGAGACAGGAGGAGGATAGAGATGAGGCTGCGTGAGCAAGTGGCTGAGTGTGAGCAGCCACCGCATCCGGTTCTCCGTTCAAATAAACCCAAGGGAAAATTTAGAGGCATTTCAGTCCAGGGGATGCTCAGCTGGCCAGGGACTGTCAAACGGCACAGGGCCATGCCCACTCCCAGAAGCATTAGGGCCATTAGAAATAATAGCAGGACCTTCCTTTGCAAATGCTCCTCATGATTTTTTTTGAAGCATTATCACACTAAGTGATCAAACAGAAAACGAGGTGAGATTGGTAGGTGTTATTATTCCCATTTTGCAGATGAAAATAATACTCTAGTTTGGAGGTTTGGTGACTTACCCAAGGTCATGTGGCCAGTTTTTTTCTAGTTTTGGCCAAGTTCAATTTCTGCTAGGTCAGACTAGAGCAGCTAGCTGAGTGTTATCAGCTCAGCAAAGATGAGAATCAAAGGAGGGAAACAGCAAGGAGGTGGAAGCAGAAGTGGTCAGGAGAGGGTCGTTATTAAGAGGCGGTATTTGGGGTCTGGAAGGAGAAAGGTTCTTAGTTGGGGAAAGGATGGAAGGTGCTGAGCTCACAGGGAAGACTGCACCTGCTCTCTGCCCTGACAGTGGGACAGATGCTGCACACAAGCCATTCCCCATTCAACTCTATAAGTCACTCCGCGGAGGAAAGAGAGACCATGGTTTTCCCCTTAAAAGAACAAAAGCGTTATTACCATTCCGGGGGACGCTGCGCGGCCTAGTGTGGCATTGCCCACAGTGTGTTCCGCTGGGTGCTAATAGGTGTTAGGTACAAAACAAGAAACAAAAAAACAAACAAAAAAAGGTTTTGTGGTCAAATGAGTTTGGGAAATGCTGATTACACAAAGTTTAACAGGCTGCTTTGCTACAGGACTACTTGGCTCCTCGAGTACTAATGCTAATGTTTTAGGGCTCTCCAAAAGGGGCAGAGGACACAGCATTTCCCAAACGTATTTAACCATGGAACCCGCTTCTCACTAAGCATCCTGCAGGCTAGCATCCCATGGAACCCACTTAGGGAAACACTAGTACAGTACAACGGGGTTTGGAGGCGATTTCATTCACTGTTTGGTTCTAATACTCAGTAGGTGAGCAGCTTCCAGAAAGTTCTGAAACCTGGGTTAGCTTCCTGTTAACATGCTTACTAAGTGTTCTATGAATAATTTACATGTATATTTTGATGACCTGTTACCATAACTTTATGAATTAGATATTATTATTATCTCCATTTTACAGATGAGGATCTAAATCATTGGGAAATGAAGAAAATGGTCCAATGTCCAACGTCAACTGTTGGCAAAAGTTGAAGCCAGGATACAAACCTAGGCCATCTGAACAACGACCAGCAACAGGGCCTTGTACAGTTGTTTTGAGATAAATTTAAGTGTTCTGGTACAGCCTATGACACAGCAGGAGTTCTTCTAAGAGTAGCAGGAGCGAGGGGCCCTCTCCTCCCCAAACCCACTTTAGAGTCACGGTCGATCCCTCAAGGGACGCTGTTTGCAGCATAGAATGTGTTTTGGGCCAGGCTGGAATTTGCCTCTGAATCTTAATTCCCAGGCTGGCCACTTTGTTGCCAGTAGTCGCAAGCTAGGACTGAGTCCCTGGGGACCAGGAGTGTTAGAATGAGAGTCAAGAGTCAGATTTTGTGCCTGGGTTCTGGCTGGGTGATTTTTAGGGCAGTTACTCTATCCCTTCAGGTCTGTGTTCTCATTTGTAAAATGGAGGAATGGACTGTTTAAAGGTGAACTTAAGGATAGAGTGGCACCTGGCCCCAAATCCCTGTGATGTCCATACCCCCAAACTGAATGATTACAGCCCAGATGTCCCCTTTCCATGGCTATGGCCAGGGCACTTTATGGATATCTGGTTCAGGCCAAGACCAAAACTTACCTGCCTACTCTTCTAGAGAAGCCCTTGGATTCCTGGTGTTTGCACACCTGCCTTTACACTCAGCAACCCTCCCACTAGCTGGAACAGCAGTCCCGTTTCTAAGCCCTCGTTAAGGATGACCTAGGACAGAGTTTGACTGGATCAGAGAAAGAGACCAAGGCCTGAGCCCTGAAGAATGTCGAGGCTCAGAGGTCGGGGAGGAAGAACAGGAGGCAAAGCGCAGATGCTGCTGAGAGGTGGAGTCAGATGAGCAGAGAGAAGAAAGACGTGGCGACTGGATTTGTCAACATGGAGGATGTGGGTGAGGCTGAGGAGGTCGCCACCGGTGGGATGGAGAGAGCAGCTACGTTGGAGGGTGCATTCTCTTACTTCTGGGGCTGAAGAAGCTGAATCATGGTGTGAGTCACTTAAATTTGGCGGAAAAGTGGGGACAGGAGAATGATTTTTGTTAGCCCATTTTGTCTTTTGAAGGAGGAAGCTACTGAGCATGTCTGCACACGGAGTAGAATAATCCAGCAATGAGGAGGAGGCATTTTTCAAGTGATGGGGAGGACAATGGGGAAATCATGGGGCAGAATCTGAGATTTGAGCCTTGCTTTTGAAATGGCAGAGACACAGCTTCTGTCCGGTTGGGCAGAGCTATGGGAAACAGCCCATGCTTGACCATTTGGGGACAAGAAAAGAAAAACAGCCATTTCTCATGGTTGAATCTGACAGCCAGGAGGAAGAACAAGAAGATGGTGGTAGATACAAGTAGGATGGCGGATTTGTGATTGGACGATGAGGGAGGTCAAGTCTGATGACTTCAATTTCCTTGAAATATATGAGATGATGTTATCGATGGAGAGTGGAGGTGGAGAAGGGGGTGGGGACCTGGAGGGAAAGGACACTGCCAAATGTGGAATAGGAGTGATGCTGTCTCCCCTGGAGGCTGCTGGGAGGGGGCAAAGTGGACAAGGAGGCACTTGGCACAACACAAGGGACGGAGATGCTCCAGCGCACCCCCGGCATCCTCTGTCCAGGTAACTGCAGGAAAGGCTTACCCTGCCCACCTCCACCAGGTTTGTGACCATGACGATGCTGGCGGAGTTCTCTTGCCAGATCATTCTCCAAAAGTCCTTTACTGTCTCCTGCATTGGACCTGCCAACAGAGAAGGTGACAGGGTCAGTGTCTGCGAGTGCAAGGTAGCAGCCCGGAGTTCATTGCTCTTGGCTGCCTTAGGGGAGCGGGAGAGAGGTCAGGGGACCCTCACTAGTACACCAAGTGGCTGAGACTGGGGCCAGAGGCATGTGAGCCTGATGGGGCTAGATCAGAGCATGGGTAAGAAAAGCCACATCCTGAACCTGCCTGGTCTGCAGCACCCCTGTCCCTTCTGTCACCCTCCTGCTCAGCCCCACCAAACCTGCTGTCGCCTGAACTATATTTTGGATTGTGTTCAAGGAATTTTCCCAAAACTGGTCTCTGGTGAGAGACAGAAAGGGAATTGGGGTCGGGAGGGTGGAGAGGCCCAATTTTAAGCTTGACAGATGCTGGAGGCACTCACTTGGAGCCCGAGGAGGAAAGAGGGGATAGAAAAGAAAGAAAGAAAAACGACAAAGACTGGGAGATAGGATCAGACAGTCCAAAGTGATTTCCTTGGAAATTACTCATCCAATGTCCAATCATTTTTAAAATTACAGAAGTAATGTATGTATTTTCTATAAAAGTTTGAATAACATTCTGTTATGCAAATATATATGTAGTTACTGCAATAAACATTGTATCTGTTATGAACATTTTTTATGTCCTTAAAAATTCTTACCAAGCATGATAGTTTTCATAGCTGCAGAGTTTTCTATGATAAATACACCTCATTCTTAACTTATTAATAATTTGTGTTCTAGGGCGACCTGCTGCATGTGCACCAGTCATGGATGTGTACCCCCCAGGAGGCAGGACACCCTCAGCTCCAGCTCTGTTGGGTGGCATCTGCTGGAGGCTGAGACTTCTGCTCGGCCCTGCCTGGGCCCCTCCCTCCTGACCGTTTCCCAGGGACAGCTCCTTCCTCACTCCCTTCCTGGCTGCACCTGTTGCCTCCTTCCTTCTTAGGGACCTCTAGAGCCTCTTCAGCCCTACTCTAGCTTCCTTGCCAGAGGAAGCTCATTCCTCTTCTCCGGGGCAGGGTCAGGTCTCTTAGTCGAAAAGGAGTGTTGGGACAACAAGCTTGCATTGATTCCCCAGACAACCCTCTTCCTTGGAGCCCTTGAGATCTCTTGGGAGCACGAGGCAGAGGTATGGCACTTACCTTGAGTTGCAATGTAGTGCCGGGGTCGGTGGTACCCCTGGATAGCAGAAGAAAAGCACAGTCTCCAGTCAAAGTTTGCAAGCAGCACAATATTAATAAATATCTTCTTCTGGCTTGATTTCCTCATAGGCAAATAGTCACCAAATGCTACTAGTATCATAACTACTCTTGAGGTGCCCATCCAGGCGTGCCTTGGAGCCAGGGCATGGGGAGCAAAATCCATGCATGCATCACTTATGCCCATGCACCCAAAAAGAGGGGAGAAGGAGTTTTCAGGTGTATGGGGGAACACTGACCACCAAAAAGTCTTTCCTGAGCTTGATTATATGCAGAACACTATACAAGGCCCTGTGAGACACTCAGAGGAGAAAACAGAAGAAACAATTCTATTGTTGACTCCTTGCATTAGTAACAATTAAAAAAAGAAAACTGGGAAGAATGCCACATTGCTTCTCTCTGCCAACAGACTTGGGATTGTAATTAAAGTTCTGCATGCAGAGAGGACCCGTGTGGAGGTGTCCATATGCAGATCAGCTATTTGCAAATGCGAAGACCACTTTCTGGATATCCTGTATATTTCAGAGGGCTCCCATAAGCCCTGCTGGACTCTGGTGTGGGGTTACCCTGGTGCCCATAACTCCAGTCATCAGAGAAGAGATTGAATATAACCCTCTCTTTTGCTTGGGTGTGGCACAGATGGAGGGTCCCCTTCCTTGTTACAGAGAAGTAGCAGATCGTATTGAGTACAAGTGTTAGAGACTGACAGGTTTGCATTTAGTATAGAACACTGAATGCTATTAATATTCACAGAATGAATGAATGGATGGATACATTCAATTTTAAAACACAGATGCCAACTATGGAGCCAACAGAGAGGTTGTGACCATCCAGAAATTACTTAACCACTCAGACTTTATGGTTAACTATGCCTGGAGAAAATAAATCCTAAAGTTTCAAGAAACTTTTTTTTTTTCTCCTGAATGTTGAACAGTTCTGTCCTATCAAAGTGGTCCTGTCCTCTCCAAGTGGATGAGCTGCCTCAAAGCCTACTTCAAGGAATAAGCTGCAATTGCCATCTGCATGGCTTTTGGTGCAGTAGATGTGGCATCCCTAAAATTCTGGGTCTACTTGCTGATGCAAAGACTATTTTACCTACCTTAGTTTTTCACTTGGCTAATAGTCATCGAGTAGATACCTTCCAATTGCTGGCCATTCTCTACAGCAGACTGATGATACCAACCCAAGGCCAATTCATGACCAGAACTGTTGGATCATCCACTTAGCCATCAAACAGCCCCGTCTAAACTCTGCTTGAGTGGTCCCATTTACAAAGCGAGGACACTGAGTTGACAAACTCTGCCTCCTCAGCTTAAAAATTTCCCTTAGAGGCTAGCGCACTGAGACTCAGAGAAATTGCCCAATAAGCAAGTTCTGACAAACCAATTAGAAAGACAGTGCAGCATGGTGGTTATGCATGCCATGAGCCAACCTGCCTTCCTGAGTTTGAATCCTGGCTCTGTCCCTTCTAAGCTATAGAGTTAGGGCAAGCCGTTTAGCCTCTTTGTGTCTCAGTTATTATTATTTTTCTGTAAAATGGGGACAAGAGTATTTAATTCATAGTATTGTTCAGATTAGATGAGTTAACATATGACAGTTATTGTACGCCAGGCACTATTCTAAGATTTAACATAAATGTCTTTGCTCTTATTATTTTTATATTATTATTTATTTGGCAAGTATTTGTTAAGAGACTACTAGGACTGTAAGTGCCTACCAGACTCTTAGGGGCTGCTAGGAGGATGGGTCCTCTCTTTGACTCGTGCAATAAATTCTCTGACAAGAGGTAAGGCCTATCTGCTCCTCCAAGTCAAGATGGACAGGGTGGGCAGGCTGACCAGGAGAATCAGACTTAGAGGTTTTCTGGAGTAGGTATGGGAACAGAAAATAGTCCCCTAGAACCTGAGATGACATGGTTTCTCAAGTTTACCCTCTTCTGCCATCCCCGCCCCCAGTTCTCACCCTCCCAGGGTTGGGCCAGAACATCAACCTCCTGCTGGCCTCCCTGCCTCTAGCCTGGCCTCCAAACCCTTCTGTTTTCTGCCCCAGTGAACTCCTTATTTTACATTGGAGTGTTATTTTCCTATTTATAAGTCTGCAATGGCGTCCCATTCTTTGAGTGGTCATGCCCAAATGCCTCATCGTGACCTGATTATAGTCTCCATTGTCATCTCTAGCCTCACGCCCAGGGGTCCTTCTCCATCCACTCGCACAATCCACGTACCCCATGCTCTATCCTCACTGCCCTGCTTTTCAGACATGATATCCTGGGTGATGCAGACCTGAGAGATCCAGCAGGGCTTTGGATATGCCCCCAAAATACGGAGGCACATGCTGAAATGAATATTTTTGTACTTTCCTCCACCTGGGCCATGGGACATGCCACCAAGAGCTGAGTGCAGTTCTCAGCACAGGCTGGTTGGTGGAATACATGTACAAATATGTTTTTGAGGTGAAGTTGGGGCACCCCCTTAATGCATGGGCTGGAAGACCAAAGACCCTGCAGCAAACTGTGATTTGACAGATTCTAATGTGCTTGAAAGTCAATAAGATGAAATTCTGAGCCAGAAATGAATTCACCTTTCAATAGAGATGGCTCAGGTTCACTATTTTGTGCTTTATTTCTTTGCTCGGTGGTTCACTAATCAATCAACAGGTGTTAATGGAGCAGATACTGTATAAGACACTGGAAATGCAAAAGTGGATCAGATGGACATGGGTTCTGCTTAGGAGCAGCTTGCAGACATCAACAAACTGGTATAAGAGCTACCAAGGGGAAGACATGGGGGCCTGTGGAGCCCCCCTGGGAGCTGACTCAGGCATGGAGGCCAGAGGAGCGTTCTCTGAGGAGGCGGTGGTTTAATTGGTTTCTTAATTATGCCTAGTTTGGGCCTCTAAATATCCCTATCATTCTCATTATGTCCCTTCAGCAATCTGCTCAGTCTTCCTACCCGTCCCCCTTGCTCACTGGCTTATAACTCGTCTTCAGGAGTAGCAGCCATGTTCCTGTCCAGAGGCCTTGGCATTGGCCCTTTCCCATGGCTGCCACGTCTGTCCCCAGGTAATGGAGTGGTTTCTCTCTCAGGCCCTTCAAACTTCTGCTCACCTGTCAGCCAATGCTCCAGAAAGCCCTTCTCTCAACACGCGGGCTACCTCTTCCCTTCCCTGGCTGACTTTCACTGGGGGTACTCATCACCCAATGGCAGATGCTTCTATATTCACTTCCATGCTTGCTGTCTGCCCATCTCTCCCAGGTGGGCAGGAGCTCCACCATGGCAGAGCGGTATCTGGCTTGCTCATGGCTGTGTCCCCAACCCAGAGAAGTCTGCCTGGACCATCAGTCTTGATAGAAACATATTGAATGCATGCCTGCTGTGTGCCTGTCCCCACACTGCCTCTGAGTAAAGAGACCCTCCCTGGCCTCCGAAACCCACGCGGTCCCCAAAGAGAAAACATTCAAACCACGAGACTCCTCAGCCAAGGAGATAAAAGGAGATGTGCTGCTCAACTGGGGCTCCTCTGGGGATTTGCCAAGAGCTAGTACTGAAAACTTCCTAACCTTAAAAGAACTTTGAGTTCATTTGAGTCCCACCTACACAGCACGCAAATCGACTGCAAACCAGCTCTGGGCCTGCCTCCGTCTGTCTGTGAGCAATGGGAAAGAGGTTTGCATCCAAAATGCATTCATCTCACTCTGCCCTCACGCATCTGTTACTTACTGGGGACCCAGATATGATATTTATTTCCAGGCTGGTAATTTATAACAGATTCAAGTGGCCAATACATTTTTTTGGGTGTGCAAACAAATCCACCAGCAGGACGGTTCAGGCAGTAGCAGACCAGAGGCCCAGACAGGGCTGAGAACGTTCTGCTCATTATACGAAGGGAGTCATTTTAATGGATTGTCAAGGTCCAATTGGGGAGGAATGATTCTATGCTGAGCAGTTAGCTCTCTGGGGAGCCAGGAAGGATTCTGGTTGGGGTGGAGCCCAGGGGAAAGGAGTCAAGACTAGGTAGCTATGTGTATCTTGCCAGGAATCCCAGGGAGACCCTAAGAATTTAACTTTGCTGGAGTATACAGCAGGTTCATAACTGCGGTGATTCCTCCTCCACTGTCAACCCCATTGTGGTGACACTGTGCAAGGAGACAGTTGTGGTTGGTGTTTTCTCTGGTCTCTCTCTCTCTCTCTCTTTCCTTCTCTCTCTGTTCTGTGCTGTGGAGGCAAACTGCACAGACTGTACCGGGGATCGCAGGTGTACTAGGTCCCTCTCTGCCAAGTCATGATGGGTTGGCCTTGCCTCGCTACTGAGGGCTGCTAACCACTAAGAGCTCTCCACCATTGCTAGCCATGAGACCCTACACCACACCTGCTGGTCTCTCTCAATCCTAATCACATCTGTATTACGCTCTCAAGGAGAGTTACCCCTTTGAGTAAGCCTGTTTCCTTTTGGAACTCAGAGAGATATTTTGGATCATTTATTGTGTATTCATGGGTCAGTGTTATTATTCCATTTTATAAATACCAGAATGAGTAAGTAACGTACCCATGATCACAAAGTTAGTAATCACTAACCCAAGGCTTGGATTCAGCTGACCCAACAAGGACTTAGTTTATGACATTAGTCTTGTTAGCCCTTGACTCTAACCACTGAGATCCAGCCCAGGGTTCAACATTGCATGTTAGGACAGCATGTGGCATAGGCTATTTGTTCTGTCTGCACAACCTACTTCTTACACGCACACACACACACACACACAACACACACACACAGGGGTTGTGGTGTGTTCTAGCAGGGTGGAGAACTAAAGTCTAGCTGTGTGACCTTGGGGAATACTCTTTATCTCAACTCCAGGTCTTCTATCTTAAAAGGCCCACAAAAATGTTTTGTAATGACAGAACATGGTAGAAACAGGTGGCATTATTGGTTATTAGTTGTAGAGATTCACTTGCATTAAAGCAATTTCATTTGATACACTACAACACAGCATTCCTCGGTTCTCACTGTAATTGGATGGCTCACACAGCTGTGGATTGAGCATTATCGATGAGAGTGACTTTTCCTGGAATTTTCCATTCAGATGACATATGCCAGATAGATACAGTAACTGGAGGTATGCAGGACCCTGCATGGGCTGTGACCCTCAGAACCCTCACATCTGCCCACCCTCACATCTACCCAGCCACAGGCAAGGTCAAGGAGAAAAAGAAGAAACCAGTTCAACATGTATGGATCAGGTCCCCACTAAATGTTGACTTCTGGGAAGTGGCAGGAGGTAGATGAAGGGGCAGAAGAAAGGGCATTGGTTGGGAAGTCATTTGGATGTGATTCCTATCCTGGTTCAGCCATGAGCCAGTGCACAGCCTTGGACAGGCTTTGCAATATCTCTAAACCTCAGCCCCCCATGGGGAATTGGAGATGACGAGACTCCCCTGAAGGGTTGTTAGGAAGTGTTGGTAAACTGGCTCACTTAAACTGCGACCATTGCTGTCATCTCTGCTTACTGATGCTACTAAGGCAGCAGGGTATGGTGGAGAGCCGTTCCTAATTAAACCCTTACTCCCTCCGTCACAGCTCACAGAGTGATCATGGATATGTTACTTAACCTTAGAGCCAGCATCCTCAGCTGGAAAGGGTAATAATGACCACCTGCCCAGTTAAGGTACTACTTAAGGTGGTGTTGGCACATGAGGGGGGATCAGTGATCCTTAGTTTACTCAAGGCCCTATTTGCCTGGCCGGTTCTTTTGTCATCCTCTAAGGCACCCTCCCTCTACCTTGAGGCTTTGCTCCTATATTCCCTGCTCTGTGAAGGCTTCTTTTTCTTATCGGACCCCCCTTACCAGACTGAGTTGCTTTGGGGTCAACACCTGGTCCAGAAGGTTGGTGTTTCTAGTGCGCAGTAGAAGGTCTGCTCTGTGCTTGTGAAATGAATAACAGGTGCACAGGAGCAAGGATGGTGGCATGGTGGGTAAGGGCTGGGAGTGCCTTGGGCACTCAGAAGGGGCCACCTCCTTGTGAACTTTCCAGAAAGGCCCTGGTGGTAGAGACTGTCTATCTTCATCTCCACTGAAGCTCCAGCCCCAACTCCTGACCACATGGTGCCCCTTGTTAGTCAGGATGCAGTCTGGAAATAGAAAGGAACCCCTCCAGGTGTTTCAGACAGAGGGATCCAGCTTGGGGAGTTGGTTGACCAGGTGACGGGGAAGCCAAGGGGAACAGTGACCCTTAGAGCTAGTGGGACAAGGGGAGACAGAGAAGTTTCCACAGCCTAGGAGCTGGGGCTGCCTGGCAGAAGGTGGAGCCACGATGGTTCTGACTGAGGACCTGCCACCCAGAGGAGGGAGATAGGCAGAGAATATGCTGGTTTCTCTTCCATCATCCTCTGATCTCCCATCAGTGCCTCTCATTGAAGGAATCAGCTCCCCTTCTTTTTTTCACTACACACACACACACACACACTCACACACACCCCTGAGATGCAAAGCAGAGCAGAAAAGGATAAGGACTGGATCTGAGGGCAAACAAATGGCCGACACAAGGCTCCATAAACATTTGTTGAATTAATGAAACAAGGCTCAGCCCCTTGTTTCATTATCCCTGAGGATTGTGAGGGAATTTGCAAAGCATGGCACTGTACTTTACAGTTTGTCCACAGATACATTTGGAAGTCTAAGGGACCAATGGGCATCTCTGAGCCATTCTTCAAGACACCTGGGCTGTGCACTGAGGTCCTGAGAAGTCTGGCTTGAATCTGTCTTGCTGGGATGTTCACCTGGCCATAGTGGCCACTTTATCCTCTTGCAAACTCTCTCACTTCCGTGAACAGAAAGGCCATGGTGGTAGAAACTTCTTGGCTTCTTTTTGAGTTGAGTCCCTTCCTCAGTAGTCTCTGAAATACTGAAGCAGCCTATTTCCTAATCAGTTGTCTTAATTCCAAAATCATTTGATCTATCTTATCATTGGCAGCAGATAAATCACCCCAAAGCTCAATTCGGAATCGGCCATCTCCTTGAGCAAAATCTCAGGATAAAGCCTGACCTTGGTCTGGCCATCTAAGCCGTCGATAATCCAGTCCAACTTTACTTCGCTCCGCTCCCCTGGAACACAGTGGCTGCCTGTTCACAGCTGCCCCATCTCAGCTACTGCCCTCCTCTAACCAGAGGCCATCTTCTCTCTCTTTGATTTTAAATTCTACTTGTGCTGGAAGCTTTGGTTCACATCACATTTTGCATTCCTGATGGGAAAAAAAAAGTGATATTTCTTCCCCTACCTCTGAATCCCTGCAGCATTTTATCTGGAATGTGACACTTGTCACTTTCTAGGCTGCCCTGGCATGATTGATGTGCATGGCTTATCTCCCTCCTGAGGTTTTCGAGGGTGGAGACCATGGCATTTGTAGTTTTATGATTTCTGTAGCATCTAGCATACGGTGGTCACCTTAAATCTTTTTGTTGCGTTCATGCCTGCACCTTCACCTTCAAATGAATGAATGGATGGACAGACGAACAGACACATATAAATTAATATACAGATTGAATGAATAAGACTAGCAGCTGTCCTGGCCGCCTGGAAGAGGATGAAGCTTTAGGTGGATAATCCACTTGGGTCATGCAAATGACGGAGAAGCAGACTGCTTGGCACGTTCTGGAAGGCCACCTTCTGTGGAAACGGTCGAGGATAGCCACAGACCTTGAGCCTCTACAGCCAACCTCAGGCCCCAGCTACCCAGCCCCACCAAGACACTCACGTCAATATAATTGGCATTGATATAGTCAGAGTGCGGGTCTCCATCCAGCACCAGCAATCTCACTCTGGAATGGTCATCTGCAGAGAGAACAGAAAGCAAGGGGTGGTGGGTAAGGGGCCTTAAGGCGAGAAGCCAGTGATTCTCTCCTTTAGAGCTACCACTTATTAGTTACTACACACCAGCTATGGTGACACTCTCTCATTTAACCTCAGCACTGCTCAGTTATTATCCCATTTACAGGTGATGAAGTTGAGGCTCTCAGAGATAAGTTTTTGGTTTTTTTTTTTTTTTTTTTTTTTTTTGGTACCAGGGATTGAACTCAGGAGCACTTGACCATCGAGCCACATCCCCAGCCCTATTTTGTATTTTGTTTAGAGACAGGAACTTACTGAGTTGCTTAGTGCCTCACTTTTTGCTGAGGCTGGGTTTGAACTTGTGATCCTCCTGCCTCAGCCTCCTGAGCCACTGGGATCACAGGTGTGTGCCACCACACCTGGTGGTTTCTAGCTTTAAAAGAAAACTAGAAGCACTTCCTCCCTTTGGATTCCACCTTCTCTTTAGATTCCCTTTAGATTCTGGTTTCGTTGTTACCCAACCGTATGAGTCACCTGCTTAAGTCTTAATATCATCATTAACATGGAGATGGAAAAACTTGCTTCCTGGGACTACGCAAGAGAGACCATACAGATACGCTCAGGACGTGGGAGTTGCATGTGAATTAATGTGCTACATTTCCAGGCTTGCTTAAAAATGGCAAGTTCACCTATTTTCCACATGTGCACAAATTGCTTTTCCTTTGTCTCTTGGAGTACTGTTGCAAATAGATTGTTGGCCTCTTATTGGTATCAATACTCTCATTAGAGTGAGGCTGACTGAATCATTACAAAAGAGGTCGTCAGTAACTAAAATTGTGTTACTGAGGATACTTTCTCAAACACAATCTAGGCATAAACAAGATCTGCATGCTTACTTCAAATAACACCAAAAAATTAAAAAGTAGTACATGAGAAGAATCAAGATAAATCCATTACAAGTAATGAAGGTGAGCTCTGACATTCTAATAGACACAGGCAAGTGGAACAGCCTGGTTGGGTCTGGGAAGGAGGAACTTAGTTTGCTACCCAGGTCCTTGGGCACGTATCACAGTGCACCCACTGGCCGTAGGCCAGTCCTCCTTACTCCAGGGCAGGAGTGGGGTTCAATGCAAGTGGGCTAGAGAGCTCTGAGCATCCTTGAGAGTTCCCCGGGGTGAGGGAAGTCAAGTCTGCATGTCCTGTCCAACTCCTACACACTGCAATTTATAAATACATTTATTGCAATGAACTGAAACCTCCTTGAGGACACAGACATACTCTGTCTTGTTCCTTGCTCCATGCCCTGTACTCCGAAAGGGCCTGGCAGATGGCAGGCACTGGACAAATACCTGGGAGGGTGTCAACAGATGGCCTCATTTAATCCTCACAATGTCCCTGTAAAGTGGCAGGATGGGTTCTGTTAGCCCTTGTTACAAATGAGGAACATTTGTAGATTGGCTCTGTGGCCAATGACACATGGAAGAATGGGGTCCTCTTGACTCTGGGTTTAACTTCTGCTTCCCAGGCTAAGCAGGGTATGGGAAACCATCTCTGGGGTGCAGAGCAGAGAGAATTAACTGCAGAGAAGTGGTTCCCTGGGTGATAGAAAAGTGTTTGAGAAGCCAGGGAGGGGAGAGAGAGAGCGTGCACGCACTTGGAGATAAGCAACCAGGAGACACAGTGTTCCCCCAGGGGTGGAGGGACAGAAGGAGGGGGTGGGACTCCCAGAGCTCAGGAGCTGGGCTGACTGCTGGGACAGGACCACCAGGGGCCTCCCTGGTGGGAGCTGGAGACAAGGAGGAGCTTCTCTTGTTGCTAAAGAAGGGGACTGTGATTGGGACAGTGGGGAGTTCCTGCCTCTCTTTCTCCTCTCCGATATCCCACTTAGGGCAGGTCATTGGCCTAACCCAGCTGACAAGAGAGCCTGGGGAATGGAGCCTGCAGAGGTCAGTTCCCTGCAATGCAGAGTCGAGTGGGGGAAGGTGAGGAATGGGCCCAATTATGGACAACTGGGCCCAGGACGGGTATGCGACACCATCCCACATGGATGAATCCATTTATTCAGAATTAGTCATCGAGGATTCGCCGCGTGGCGCTATATGCTAGGTGGTTCTACCCAATGCCACGTTTCTTACTCACTATGGGGAAGGTTTCAGTGGAAGCAACTAGAAGGAGTAGCTTCTAAGTGGACCGATGGGGGAATGGGTGTGGGAGGGAGGAGTTTGAACTTCATCCAGGTGACGGTGGGCACCAGAGACTATAACATTACCTCAGTGATTTTATTCCTTACGCCATGCCTATAACTCATTGCAATAGTGGAATGGTGCAGTATTGTGAGTCTTCCTTTTGCAGAGATATACAAACTAAAGCTCAGAGAGGCTAAGCTGATCTCCCAACTACCACAGGCTCCCTCCCAGGCCTGTCTGACCCTCATTCCACCTTCCAGGTGCTGCCCTGGCACCTCAGGATTCTTGAAGGTACTGCTAGAGTCTATGCAGTTGGTCCCCAGCTCCTTCATTATTCTAGCTCCAGGAGAGAGACTTTTAGGGGAGGGTACAGCCAATCCAGCAAGCTGGGGTTCAAACAAGGCCTGGTGCCTGACTCTGAACCTCAGATGTCAAGTCTTGTTACAGAAACTATCAACCTTTAAAAAATGAAAATGCATATTATGCTTTGACTCAACTCTCATTAATAACTTAATTATTCAAAATCTCTTTTATTTATTAAGATACACCTGCCCCTGAGGTCCATAGCACTAGAAACAGAGATTCTGATTTTAAAAATTGAAAGCAATTAAAAAAAAAATATATATATATATATACACACACACACACACACACACACACACACACATATAAAGTTTAAAAAAAAACAGAAAGCAAAAATCATTAAAAAGAAAGCAGAAAAAAACAAGTTTATTTCTTCTAGCTAAATAGCCTTAAAAATGAAAATGCCTCCAACCACCAGTTGATGGTACTTGCCAATATTCCCTCTTATTCATTTATCAAGGGCACATTTATTGAGTACCTACTATATACTATGCTAGTTGAAGGGACTAAGAAAGTGTTCTCAAACGCGAGCCTCATGATTAAGGAGTTTGTCAACTTAGTGGGGGAGGCCTAGACACAGAAGTGGAACTTCAAGGTCTAGAAAGTGGGGAACACAGAGTTTTGTGTAGTGACATGAATGACGGATTAAGAGAGTGAATGAGGGCTGACTAGTGGACAATGGGAAAGAGTGTTTTCGTTAGAGAGAACGGCAAGACTGAAGGCAGAGATCCTGGGAGAGCTGCTTAGGCCCTGTCCTGGGTACAGTGAGTGTGGGGGGCAGGGTGAGCCGAGGAGGCAGCTAGGGTTAGAACACAGAGGTCTCTCGGCACAACTTTAATGCACTAATATTGAAACAACAGGGCTGAGCTCTGTAGGACATCCAAGTACAGAGTCTCTTTCCAGGATCATGGGAGGGTATTTTAGTATGAAATAACCAAAATTCATTCCCACTTGGGCTGGCATCTGATAACAGGACCCACTTTTAATGTGCAACATGAGTAGGAAGCTGTGGCTCAGATCTTAGCTCCACCATGTGGCAGGTTGTCGGTTCCCCCTTAGCCTTGACTTCCTTAGTACAATGGAGCCAACACTATGCAGCTCTCAGAATGCTGGAAGGATTCAATGAGAAGATGAAGGCATGAAAAGTGTCAGGACCTTAGGAGAAAGAGAAGACAGGCAACAGAGTGGGAGAAAATATTGCCAAACCCATAGCTGTTAAAGGACATGTATCCACCACATACAAAGAACACTTAATATTCAACAATAAGAAAACAGATAACCCTAGTAAAAAGATCTGGACAGACATCTCATCAAGGAAGACACACAAGTGACAAGCGTATGAAAAGATGTTCAACATTCGGTGTCCTTAGGGGATTGCAAATTAACATGATAAGTGAGCTGTTGCTATAACGCACGCACTAAAAAGGTCGAAATTCCCAAACATGGTGATCAATTGGAGCAGTGGGAATTCTCACTCATTGCTAGTGGGAATTCAAAAGAGCACAGCCATTTTGGAAGCCAGTGTGGCAGTTTCATACAATGCTAAACATAGTTTCACCAGGCTATCCAGCAATCGTACTTTTTTTGGCATTTACTCAAATGGATTGAAAACTTAAGTGCACATCAAAACCTGCACATGGGTGTTGTGGCAGCTTTCTTCATAATTGCAAACACTTGGGAGCAATGCAGATGTCCTTCCATAGATGAATGGATAGCCAGATTATGGTAGATCTATACAGTGGAATATTATTCAGTGATGAATAGAAATGAGTTCTCATGCCATGAAAGACGCAGAGGAGACTTCAGTGCATGTGGTTAAGGGAAGGAAGTCAATCTGGAGACAGCTAGGTATCGTGTGACGAAGAACAGGAGAAGAAGATTAACATTTAACAGGGATGAGAGGTGGGAGGGAAAGGGAGAGAGAAGGTAAATTGCACGGTAATGGAAGGAGACCCTCAGGGTTATACAGTGGAGGGGGTAGAGAGAGAGGAGGGGAGGGGAGGGGAGAGGTGGGGAGGGGGGAGGGTGGATGATGGGAAAGGCAGCGGAGCACAACAGACACTAGTATGGCAATTTGTAAATCAATGGATGTGTAACTGATGTGAATCTGCAATCTGTGTATGGGGTGAAGGTGGGAGTTCATAACCCACTAGAATCAAAGTGTGGAATATGATATGTCAAGAAATTTGTAATGTTTTGAACAACCCACAATAAAAAATTAAAAAAAAAAAAAAAAAAAAAAAAAAAAAACCTGCACATGGGTGTTGTGGCAGCTTTCTTCATAATTGCAAACACTTGGGAGCAATGCAGATGTCCTTCCATAGATGAATGGATAGCCAGATTATGGTAGATCTATACAGTGGAATATTATTCAGTGATGAATAGAAATGAGTTCTCATGCCATGAAAGACGCAGAGGAGACTTCAGTGCATGTGGTTAAGGGAAGGAAGTCAA